ACTCAAAAGTGTCTAATCAAGGGGGTATGCAAATGAACCCAATTCGCATAATTTATACCAGCTGCAGAATTCAGCTTCCCTCCCCCCCCAACCCCCCTCCTTGCTTACCGCCTCCTCGTCTTTCTTCCTGGCTCTCAGATGAGTTTTTGGCTTGCAAGCTTCTTTTTTTTTTTGAACGTTGGTGGCACAGCTTAATTCAGAACACCGGGTCCTGCCCACTCTTTGAAGTGTGGTTTTGACCCCTGGGCTGCCCATTCTTGGTGCTGTGAGTGGGGTGGGGGGGAGAAAGAGGGGTATTTTCTTAAGAGGGGGGGAAAGAGAGAGAGAGGAGAAGACTAAGTCTGGTCCTACCCAAAGCTGAGATTGTAAAGTTGCCCCTTGTAGGGGGAAACTAAGTCAGGAGTCAGAGCTAAAATTTGCAGGAGCGATTTTGAACACTGCTGCTTTTTTGGGGGGGGCCAGGAAAGACGCAGCTCCTCGCATGGGGGGGGGAGAAGCATGCATCTCTCAGTTTCCTGCCTTTAGGGGGGGACTTTGAGTCGCCCCATTAAATGGGGGCTCTTGGTGGATTCATTCCTGGGGAGGGAATCCCCCTTTCTGCCCACTCCAGAGCTTTCTACATTTGGGGGGCAGGAAAGATGCAACTCCTTGTATGGGGGGGGGAGAAGCATGCATCCCTCAATTTCCTGCCTTTAGGGGGGACTTTGAGTCTCCCCAATAAATGGGGCTCTTGGTGGATTCATTCCTGGGGAGGGAATCCCCCTTTCTGCCCACTCCAAAGCTTTCTACATTTGGGGGAGGGGCAGCAAAGACGCAGCTCCTTGCATGGGGTGGTGGTGGAGAACATGCATCCCTCAATTTTCTGCCGTTGGGTGGGACATCAAGTCACCCCGCTCATTCCTGGGGAGGGAATCCCCCTTTCTGCCCACTCCAAAGCTTTCTACATTTGGGGGGACAGGAAAGATGCAACTCCTCGCATGGGGGGGGGGAGAAGCATGCATCCCTCAATTTCCTGTCTTTAGGGGGGACTTCGAGTCTCCCCACTCATTCCTGGGGAGGGGGTTCCCCTTTCTGCCCACCCCCACCCCCCCTGCGTTTCCAGAATCCGGATCTGGCCTGCCCTTCAAGCCAAAATGTTTGGGACCAAATCCGCCTTCTGGGAAGGAGGTGTGTGTGTGTGGGGGGGGGAAGAGAGAAACGGGGGCACGGCAGGAGGGGGGGGTGTCTCTGTTTGCGTGGGAGCGGCTTCCAAGAACAACCCCTTTGATTCAGATCAGAGAGAAGGAAGCGATTAAGAAAGTCTTTGTTTTCTCCCGGTTTCTTTTTTCCCCTGCTGTTGACATTCAGAGGAGAGAGAGAGAGAGAAGGGGGGAAGCCTTGCCAAGTTGGCCGCACCCTTGTCGTCTTGGGCCGATGCCACGCCGCTTGTGGACGCTGTCTAGAGGTCACATTCAGACGGAGCAAACTTCTGGGTCACATAGGGGCAGGGCGGGAGGGCGGGGAAGCAGAGGGGGCTAGCTCCCCACGGTGCTTTCCTTGCAAGCCAGCCCTCCCTTCCTCGTCCTCCTCCTCCTCCTCTCTCCCTGGCTCTCCCCGTCCGCCGAAGGAGAGGCTGCACCCGTCTGCACGTTTTGGCCACGACCTGGACCATCTCCCAAAAGCTGTCTCTCTGGGCTGCTTCCTCCTCCTCCTCCTCCTCCTCCTTCTCCTCCCTTCCTGCCTCTCCTGGCACCCGGGAGCGCTCACTCGCTCAGGAAAGGCAGGCGAAGGCTGGCAAGGGAGTTTGCGGAGGCTGGAAGGGACGGATCCTCCTCCTCCTCCACCGCCACCAGCGTAAAAGAGACACCACGGCTGGGAAGCAGCAGCGCCCGGGGACCGAGCAGGTGGGAGTCTGCAGGGAAGCCGAGGAAGCCGAGCAAGTTAGAGGATTGGCACTGCCAGGGGAGGAGTAGGAGTAGGAGGAAGCCTTCCGGGATCGGCTGACCTCTCCCCCAGTTTGGACTTGGCACCGGCTGCAGAAAACCCTCCCCGGCGCGGATGGGTGCACATGCCTCTTCTCCGGGACTGCCCGGAGAGAGTCCGCGGCGAACGTGAGAGCCGAGCCATCAAGGAGGAGGAGGAGGAGGAGAGCATGTGAACCACCACCCTTGGCTCTTCTTCTTCTTCTTCTTCTCCTGCTCATCTCTTCTTTTTTCCCTTCTTGGATTTGTAATCCTGGGGGGCTGGGGTTTTTTTTTTTTTTTTTGCTTTGTTTGGTCTCCTCTCTCCTTCCCCAAACTCCAGCGAATTCGCTTGCCTCCTCCTTGTCCCCGCGTATGGTTTCGGTCAAGCAACCAGCCGATGAATGTGGACCAGGATGTAAGTGGGGGCTTGCGGGGGGGGGAGGTGGAGGATAAGTGGAAAATCTGAGCTGTTTTGAGTGTGGAAGATGTGGGAGAGAAGGAGGGAGGGAGGGAGTGTCCCGCTGGCCTGGTTCCTGGTGGAAAGGTCCCAAGGGGTGATCTCCAAGCACCGTGTGCCCTCTGCCCGCCGGACCTCCCAAACGCCCAGATCTGACTGGGATGGGAAACTGTTCTCCAGTTTTTCTTCCTAAAAGTTTGAAATTTAGCAGGGACTTTTGGAGCACCGGGGAAGGGCGGGCAGGCAGGCAGGCGTGGAGTTTGTAGGGAGTGTAACTTAACTGTGTGTGGGGGGGGGGGCTTTTCCCAGCTGTGGGACACACTGGGTGTTTCCTGGCATGAGCCAAAGGTTGCTGCTGACATGTCTTTCCCCAGGCGTGTCTCTCTGTGTGTGTGTGTCTCTCTCTGTGTGTATTTATGTAATTATAGTTTTGGAAAGCAGGTGCTGGTGTATTTTTTTTTATCGGAGGTGCTGGAAAGATAAGGGCAGCTGTATGTGTGCAGAGTGTCTGGCTGCTGGCAGGGAAGATGGGCGGGCGGGCGGGCATGTGGGCGACGCATTACACCCACGGGTTACGACCGCACAGGGTTGGGCAGGTGTGATGCCAGCCTGGGCTGAAGGATCTTTAAGGCTCCAGAGACCCCCTTGGCCCCCTCCCCGCATCTCTTTGACGAGCACAATGATGCATTTTCCGCTTGCACTCGCTCTGCCCGTCAACGGAGATGTGATTTTATTTATCTTTCAAGATTGTTTGTAAAAACTTTGCAGAGGTTTTCAGAGTTGGCGAGGAGCATCTCGCCCCACTTTCCCCTCCCTGAGGATTTCTAACAGCCCTAAAAGGTAGACCTGTAGGTGAGACTTAACTTTAGCCAAACACCCCAGCGGTGAAAAAAAAAAACACACACACACACAAATTAGGACCAGATACAATTTTGGATCTGACCGCAGAACAAGACGGCTCACTTGCTTTCTTGCCATCCAGTTTCGTCCCAGACCGACAGCTTTACGACAGCCCTGTGAAGCAGGCCACTTTACTCAAGCGAGGAAGCAAAAGGGGGGGAAAAAGAAGTGACTTCCCCCAAAGTTTAGGGTTTTGGGGGAGTGATCAAAAGACCTCCTGGAAATCCATTCCAGGTTGCTAACTTCCCAGGTTTTTGTTTTTTTTTGTTTGTTTGTTTTGAAAACGAAGGCTACAAGGAGTTGTTTGCAAGGAGTATTTGCAAACTCTCAGAAGTTTCACAGCAACGTTGAGGTTGGGGCGAACCCAGCGGGCTGGAGCAAAGGGGAAAAAAAAAAACAAGTTTCAAGTCCTCAACAGGTGCCAAGACAAACATTGTCGCAAAGAATTACCTTCCCTATCCCCGAGTCGAATGACGAGCGGATGAAGCAATTCGCTTTTCATCCCATCCTAAAAAAACTTGCAGGGAAAGTTCTCAGGCTCTATTCCTGCTTCTATTTTTATGCTTGTCTTTTATTTTATTATTTTTAATCTGGAGAAGATTAACCGTTGTTTTACGTCTCTCT